TACAGGGGAAGGTTGATGGAAAAAGGGCAAGAGGAAGGTCACCAGTGAGATATATAGATCAAATAAAGGAGCTCACACAAATGTCGGTCTCACAAGTGATGCGTACTGTAGAGGACAGAGAAGCTTGGCGAAGGGTCACTACACAACATCCATGAACGAGTCACGACGTCCGAAAACGGACAACGACTGAAGAGAGAGAGAGTAGTCTGAAATAAGGACCATATGTAAAAGTAGAAATGAAGTTGTGGATGAGGTCATTTGGAAATCTTTAATTGGGTTAACAGAACCATGCATATTTCAATTTAAATTATCTGACTATATTGCAGATACAGATACAGAGAGCACGAATTCCTTGGGGATTTGCAAAGTATTAACTTGGACAGTGTTTATTATGTTAATAACATAGACGAAAAGATTAAGTGTTTAAGCAGTAATATTGTAGCCCTTTTTGACATTCATGTCCCAGGTAAAACAGTTAGCCTGAGCAAACCCTTTGCGCCATGGCTTACGGATGCAGTAAAGCAGATAAGAAACGAGAGAGATAGAGCAAAAAGAACAAAACTGTTGAAAACTGGAATAGATACAAAAGTCTACGTAACTATGCTCTGTCATCTCTCAGATATGAAAAAACTGCTGTCTAAAATCAAATGCTGTGGTATACTTCTTCATCCAGCGTCAATGGTCTTGGACCAATTAGCCTACCTGTGCTTAGTAAGGTGTTGGAGAAGGTTGTTTATCAGCAAGTCCTTTCGTATACAACTAATCATCATATAATTCCATCATTCATCCAAAACATAGCAGGCTTCCTGCTTTACTACATATCAATGATCTACTAATAAAAATATTAGATAAAAATATTTTAAGAATACTGGTATTATTTGACCCTTCAAAGGCATTCGATTGCGTGAATCATGAGTTATTGAGCGCTAAACTAAAGCACTTAGGTTTCACCGATCGATCTGTATCTTTTTTCCAGTCGTATTGAAATAATAGGCAGCAGTTCCTTAGGACGAATATAGGTACATCAGATTTGGGTAATCTTACTTCGGTTGTACCACAGAGTTCAATTCTTGGAACTCTGTTGTATCTCCTTTACGCATTTGATATGTCTATGGATCCATCCATCCAGCTGTTACACACATTTGACTCAGCTAAGTATGATAACTTCGAAGTTAATCTTAATTTGGATCTTAAAAGACTTTTTCAGTATAGTAAAAAACACAATCTTAAGCTAAATTCTAAAAGAACACTAATTATGCTATTTGCTCGCCCTAGAAGCTATAATTTTTTGCGTGATCAAATTAAGAGTAATAATGGATGATCAATTGAGATATAGTGTCCATGTATCCTTTCTAAAGTTATATACTACCTTCCATTATACTATCCATTATTAACCGTTGCTGATAAATCCAGATTAGAAAAAATCCAGAATGGCTGTGCACGATTCGTATATGCTTTGAGAAAGTTTAATAATTTAAATTAAATTAAATATATGTTTCAATTTTTACTGGCAATTGTATTTAAGGTCATGAAATATTCTTTACCAACGTATTATCATTATTATTATTATTATTATTATTATTATTATTATTATTATTGCTATTATTATTATTATTATTATTATTATTATTATTATTATTATTATTATTATTATTATTATTATTATTATTATTATTATTATTATTATTATTATTAATTATTATTCAGTGTGTCGAAGTGAATGGAGGATTCAGTAGTTCTAGCTTGCCGGTATCGTTTGGAGTGCCGCAGGGCTCAGTGCTCGGGCTCCTGCTGTTCATAGTTTACATCAAAGATTTGCCTTCCCACATACCATGTAAAACTATGCTCTACGCGGATGATACAATTCTTTTATCCCGAGTTAGGAACCCATATGAACTTAGTATTGATAGTGTGGCCAATAAGACTGGAGCGCGTGGATGGTTCGGGTCGAACTCCTTAACGAACAATCTTATTTTCTCTTGTAGCAAGGTGCACAATTTAAACAATGCTCCGGTTAAGGTACTTGGAGTCTGGATCGATCGTACTCTTTCTTGGAAAGATTACATTGAACACCTTTGCCACAAACTGTCAAGTCAATTGTTTCTAATTAGATACTTAAACAAGTCACTCATTCCTATCATGTCAAGACTTGCTTATTTCGGATTCTTCCATTCTGACTTAGCGTTCGCTATTGTTTTGTGTGGTGGTTCCGTGGTTCCCACAAGGCTTTCCTTATGCAAACAAGAGCGATACGTGTGATTGCGAATGCAAAACCTCGTGATCACTGCCGCCCGCTCTTCTCAAAGCTTAATATTTTGACCTTACCATCACTATTTATTTACTATACAGTCACTCGCATACATGAGCTAAAGGACGATATGCCTAAGCACTGCGATCGCACAATCACTACACCAGGGGATCTGAATTATTTGTCCAGGGCCATTCTAGGCTGCGCACATCCGAGTTAAATAAATTGTACATTAATTACTACAATGTTCTTTCAACCGTTGTTAAGGATCTGCCATTCACTAAATTTTGTAAGATAATAAAACAATTTCTATTGGAAAACGCATTCTATACTGCAGATGAGTACATCGGTGTTGCGCCACGAGTGTCTCCATAATACTAACTGGGAATTTATTTATTTACTTTTTTTTTACCTAATTTTTGTTTCAATGTTTGGTGTTTGCCTTTCTGATAATTATGTCGCTCTCTATGAATGTTATTAAAATGTGTTTGGTATTGTGTTAATTCATTTACATTCACACATGTGACTTGCCATTTGTTGTTCTTGTAATGTATTTAATGGCCAATAAAGTCTAAAGTCTATTATTATTATTAATTTAATAAATAAATACTCTTACACTGATCAATCAATCATCAATCATCTACCACTATTAACAGCGATGATTTGTCGATGACTGATAGTGACTTGATAATCTATGATAATTTATTAATGACTTACGGTTATTTATAATGGATTTATCTATTATTTATTTACTTTCATTTACAGTAATTGGTCAATGAAATGCGTTTTTCTTAAATTTATAGGTGAGTTCTAGATTTGTAGGTGATTGACATGATTGACGATGATTTATCAATTGTTTAAGATTATTATCAATATTGTAAGGTACAATGACTGAAAATAGATCATTGCAATAATTTGTAGTGTTTTATTAAATATTTACGAGGACGTAGTGATTTTTTAATGAGTGACAGTGATTTATCCAATGAATTATGAATATTTGTAGCAACCTATTTATTTATTTATGTTTATTTATTAAAGATTTACTATTATTTCAAATGGAGACTCTTCTCAAATGTCAACATTACGTGATTTATTCGAATTGAAAGCTGAAGTCGGTATATTTCTGACTCACTGGACGTTCCCAATTTAAAAATATAAGGATCTGAACACTTCGGTGTACTTTAAGGAAAAGGTCTCAAAATTTAAAAATAACAACACTATCGACTTCTTCGTTACTGCCGATGGACTAAAACTTTATATTTTTAATGTTATTTATTTTCAACAAAAATCAAGATAGCCTGTTGGCTCACACTTTTCGCATAAAATAATGGTTCAAATTTGAAAATACAAAATATGAACTGTTACATGGTATTCCACAGGGCTTATAGTATCAGATACAGGCTACTGCGGACAAAAGCAGATTTAATAGTGTCCACACACACTCGATTTTCAGACAGAGTAGTCAGAAAAAACAAAATATTTGAGTTCCTAAATAAAATAGTTCTTGTTGCTGGTGAACTACAGGGTGGAATGGTTTAAAAGTGGCGATAAATTTAGAAATCGCAAAATTTTGTATTACTACTTTGTGAGGGTTTTTGCATTTCTAAAAAACTTTTATTAGTAACCAGATTTTTCTTTGATTTTATTCATTTGCCCTTTATTTAACAGTGCTTTGCGAGTTATTATATGAAGATAAGGCTACTGCCCGACTCGCGACAGGTAAAATATTCCGCATCGAATGAAAAAGGACGCGAGTTCTAGCATCAAATTACCCGCACGGGGCGAAATAAAACATTTTACCGCCTCAAAATAATCCGCAGACATATTAGTACGATTATTATAATTGGTGGCAACAACGCCGACAACAAAAGGATGGCGCAGTCGGCGGTAAATTGGGTAATTTTCCGGGCAGCTGCGAAAGTATAACTTCTTACTCCAAAGTTTGCCGCCCCCGCCCTTTGAAGTATGCAATTTCTAATTTTCGCCGGAGAAGTTTTCCGGGGCCGAAAGGTTTAACTAGTTTTTAAACGTTCGCGCGGGATAATTTGTAAAGATAACAAATTTTTCCCGAACGCTTTTAATGGAAACCACTTAAGCGATATTAAAAGTCTTCGAGCAGGTTGAAGTGGATTTCTTCGGAATCCGCCGCTTTGAATCGGACGGACGAAAACAGAAAATTTAATTTAGATAATATTTTCAGTTGGCCCTTTCGGTGGCCCTTCTTTTATCCAGAATATATCGAGCACGTTTTTTTCAGCGACTAGACATGTTAGCCGACAAAATTTTCTGAAAAATCCCCATTCAAAAAAGGACATGAATGTATTTTTGATATTAAATACTTCAGTTAATATATGAAAGTCCCTTCGAGTTGGTCGGACCATTCCCATTCTATCCAGAGCTCCATTACTTAATAGTCACGCATTCTGAGCCTTTTATTTACTATCCCAAAAGATTGTCAGAAACTGTCAAGAGGACATATCCATTTTAGGATGTCAATATAAGGTAATAGTGATATGGACACCAGGGGGGCATCAATAGTTTCACAGCCTATAAAGCAATCATATTTAATATTGTTATGGCATACTCTCGATTAATTACTGTCTTTTTCTGTGGTGTAATTTTTCGGTCTACAATAAATGATCATAAATTTGAAAATCAGATAAAGGATGTCGGTTAATAATGACTAAAGAAAATAAATGACTGCCTCACCTTTGTTACGAAATGATAGTGGGCGAAAACATACAAAACTTACCCGTGTAAGGGCAACCGGTAAGCTCCATTCTTAAACACACGGTCCGCCTATGAATGCTGTAAGGCAGGAGTCTTATCTTGCTCGCGAATATGGTAGGCATCAGACGGTGACTCTCCACTGACGCTGTGTCGCTGTTGCCTCTTAAAATCTGAAAAGAAAAGGAGAATAAAAATAGCGGGGATGGACTTCGGTCTAATCTCTCTCTAGGTCACTAAAATACACTTTTTCTTCCATCGATTTGATCCATTCTCTCCGATACTGAGTTAATACATAATAAAAACTGACCAAGTGCATGAACAAACACTAAGCAAGAAATTAACGAAAGCGTCTTAAATAGTCACCGTTTTTTTTCAAATTGAATGTTTTTGACAAATGACGGTATAGATTTCAAATGTTTCTTGTATTACCTATTCTAATTCTCTCTGTTGCTCTGTATTTTCTTTTGCTTTATTCTCTATTGAAGCTACCCATATAGGAAACTATATGCATTGCAGATAGAGAGTTGTGAACTGATATACATTCCAAATATTTTAGATAAACCAAATTCATATTTATATTTAATCCAACAGAAAAAAGTTGTAGAGTACAAATAGAAATTTATCAATTTTGCCGATTTTCCGACAAGACGCCCCAATTTTTTACTAGTACATCAAATTTGAAACAGAACATCTCTTTTTTGCATATTTATATTCTTCATAAAAACCAATATAATTTTATTTTTAATTATTTAATTTTTAACATGTCAATATTGGTAGTGGTAAACCTTGTGCAACTTTTTTGACTGCTAATATCAGAAATAATTTTTAGTTCACCTCTGATAATATAACTTTGGAAGTTTTAGGCATTATGCATTTGAAATTAGGCATTTAAAGATACGGTTTAAAGATACAATCCCATTAAAATTTTGAACTACGTATTACGTACCATACTAGAGAGAAATAAATAATAACAAATACAATAAGTTTAAGAAAATAAATTATACAAGTCGACGAAAATTGGGTTCCATTGTTATGGAATATAGGGTGATTCCAGACGAGTGTTTTAAGTCCTGAAGAAGTAACAAGATTTCTTCCGAAAAATCATTAGTGGGCAGGGCAAGTTCCTAACGCGTAACGTGAAGCAGCTTTGTATTTCAAAAGGCAGCCGCTTCGCGATTTCTTTTCCTATAGTGCTCCTGCGGACCACTACGGAACTTTCACAAAATCGATGTCATTTCACGTTTCCCGGTCCAAGAATTTTTCCAAAAGAGTAACCGCTTAAAATAAAAGTTATATTACCGAATCTTCCGCTTCTCCTGGTTTAAGAAAGTTGCCGATCGGGTTAATAGTTTCCGAGAATTTTTTTTTCTGGGAGACAAAATAATCCAAAAAAAAAGTCAAATTAAAAAGAAAATACCTCGCGATATTTCATGGCTCCCAATTTCAACAGTTTCATTGTGTATGTGGACTTCTAATTTTCTGCTAAATTTAAAGTTGATAGCTGCAAATTTAACACATTTGTTGCAGTTCCTAATATAGCACGGAATATCTTGAACACCCTGTGCAATAAGTGAAAAGTTATAGCTGCCCATACGTGCTATATAATTATGTGAAAGAAACTGACAACTGAAGCACCGCCTTGTAGTTATCGTCAATTACCATTATAAGGCGGCCCCAATTTTTATTTTTGAGAATTCCGGCCATATATATTTCTGAAAATTATAAAAACTAAATGTTTATAGCATTCGATCTCTCGGATCTTCACGTTCAAGACATTTTTGAATTATATAAACAATTTTCGAGAATTGATTTTTTTTTCAACCTTCGAAAACGAGATTTTTAGATTTGATTCTGAGTATTTTTTAATGGCGTATGTGTCTCGTGTGGTTTTAAAAAGGAGCCAAATTTGAGTACTTTAGCTTAAACTGTTTCGCATTTTTAAGGAGCATCGACAGAGAGAAGAGAATAGAGGACGGAAGGGCAAAATAATTTTTTTTTTCGACGCTGATCATTTGCGTAACAATGGAAGTCCACTAGGACCTACCATTGCTAAGCGCGTATACTTCCGAAAAATTCGATTTCGTCGATTTTTCGAATGTAACAAAGGGAGCAGACGGAATGAAACTGTTTTGCTTTTAACATCGTGTTAAAAATGAGAAAAATCAAGGGCAGCAGTATGCAGGATACGCTTTCGCATGATATAATGAACTCCCCACCACTCTCGGTCGAACTACAACCGCGTCGAGCTCATCCAAATCCCCGCGAAATTGAATCTTCGCGACTGAAGCGGCTTCCGAACGACTCCCCCGCAGATTTTTGCATTTTTATGGAAGACCGCCGTCACTTTATCGTCGCGAAATAAATTATGCGCGTCTAAAACAAAAATAGGGTCACGCCAACTCTGATGTAACTTCGCCCGAAATGTTTTGTATCAATCGGTAACATCCGCCGAGCGGCTTTCATGTCGGCAGACCTAAAAAGCCACGAAATTCGGGCTACAAGGGGACGGGGAAATAATACATCCCCATCATCCACCCAACCCCAAAGTTCGAGCGGATGGAATTTATTTTAAAGAGTTCAATCTGGTTGAAGGCACGAAACTGTTAAGTCAGTGTCTTGGGCACGAAATTAGACGGATCGCTTGGTTAAAAATATTTATTTAGTATTTAAGCAGTCGAATTTAAAAAACTTTAGACGAAAAATTTTGTTGGTTAAAGGACAAAATTAAGAATCCAAATCGAGCTTCGGCCGAAACGGCATAAATCAGGGAGTTTATGCAAGATCGGGCAACGTCGAACGTAATTATAACTGCTTCTTTAAGCGTCGTATGCTGCGTTATGCGTATTACAATAACAATAAAACAACAACCTATAATAAGAAGACTAAGTTTAATCGCCTTAAAAATAAAACAGCGTTCAAATTTATAAAATTACCAGAACTATACTGAAACACTGAATGCCATGTTAGTAAATAATTGCTAGTTAAAATTGAATTTTAATTGAAATATTTCTCCTGATATAACATCAAACGTTCTTAAACCATAAACAAATTGGGCACAGATATTCTGGATTTTTCAAAATCCGATTTTAACAATTGATAGTTTTGGTAAGCTTGGAAGACGAGAAAACTTTAGAAATGATGTGTGAGACTGAATCCATGTTATGTCGAATTCCGTATGATATATCAAATATTTATCGGGTTTCGTATAACTGCCGGGTTCATCCTTATTATATTATCTGTGTTATCGATTCTTAATAAAAAGTTGTAGTAGTTGTTTGGTGATTCCTGTATCAGGTCGAGTTTCTGCAGTGTTTGTCATAATGGTTCTCACCGTTGCCTTATAAATTCTTGATTTAGTTTCCACTTTGATATTTTTGTTTCGCCATATCGTGCCATTGAGACATCCTGCTATTCGTGTTGCTTGTTGATTTCTATGCCTAAATACTTAATTTCATTTCATGCTGTATAATATTCCCTTTAACTTCCAGTTTGCATGGTGCTTTTGATGTCGTCATAGATTTAGTTTTCTGAGTTGATATTATCATATTAAGTGATTTGGTAGTGCCGTTAAATCGATGTAATAGACGCTGTAAATCGTCTTCATTTTCGGCAACTAATACGGCTTTGTCGGCATAACACAGAATACTAATTTCCTGATCGCCCATTCTGTATCCATTTAGTAAGCGTACACTTCTTATTATTTAATCCATAATGATGGTGACTAGGGGAGTTATCTTGTCGGAAACCTCGACTTATATTTATTGATGCGGTCAGAACCCCGTTAATTTTGGTTCGAATTTGATTCGCTTCATATATGTTTTCTATGGCTTTGATGAGGTTGTGTGGGATTTGCGTATTGTAGCGCGTCTCTTCGCTGCACACGGTCGAACGCTTTTTCTAAATACTAAATACTGGTTTGTGGTATTGATTTTTCAGTTATCTCTTATGACAAAAACGGAGCCTGTACATGATCTGCCTGATCTGAATCCCCGTTGGTCGTCCGCTAAGGATGTTAAGTCATTAATTTTGTTTGTTATCACTTTTGTTGTAAGTTTCAATATGATGCATAACAGATTTATACCTCCGTAATTTGAAAGCAGTTTTTTATTTCTTCTTTTAAACATCAGTGCTCATTCGTCATTCATCGGGTATCTTGTGTTGGTAAAACATTTTTTGAACTGCTGTGTGTAGTTCGATTGGAATCTCATCTTGCCCTGGACTCTTCCTGTTCTTTAGCTTTCTGAAAGCTGTATTTATATCGAATGTCTCAATCTGTCCGTTGTCGTTTGTCACTATCTCAGGTGTGTTTAGTTCAACCTCAATTTCTTCTGATTTGTATAGTTATGAAAAATAATTATCTCCAGTTTCTCTTGCTATATGATTTGTTCCAACTTATTCGTCGATCTCTTTTCTTTGAGTTTCAATAAATCAATCAAATCACTTTCCGTTTTGAGAAAATTTCCCAATGTTGGGTTTTTATTTGTCTTACTAGTGTTACTCGTGTTTGTAGGTGAGGATCTCATTTTTTTTCTTTACATTTATAGGCAGAACCAAGGGGTTTTTATTTATTCCACCGTTATTATTCCTTTTTATAGTCCGGTCTTTGAGTTTCTCCCAGGAGGTGTTTATGCTTTTTTCCGCTTTTATTGGGTTTACTTGAATTTTTCTATTAATTTTTCCTCGCATAGTTGTTTGATCGACAAATCCCATAGCTTATAACAGTTTATAAAAAAAAGGCATTGCAAAAGCAAATTGGAGAAAACTAAAACATTTCTTGAACATGAATCTGAATTTTGGATAACAAAATGTGGGGCTTACCCCGCTTTCTTTCACAACATCAAACGTGTTCTAATACTCTACATGATCAAATTTCATTCTACAAGTAGCAATTACTCCGCCTCACCTATCATACGGCTGGGGGCCTAACGAGTAAAAACATGTAAAAATTGGGATTGGAAATTACGCCCCATCGTTTGATCTAATTGCCTCAATGTACGGTAACGGCAATCTACACCGTCGCACCCGGAGCGCCATCTCTATTCCGAAAAAAAGAGTAGTATAAAAAGGAACACAACGAGCGGGTCATTCCCGATGCGGCACCCGCAACGCACATAAACAAATTACATCCAGATAAGGAACGAACTATAAACCGTACCCTAAAGTGTGTTAA